ATAGACCCGGTTCATTTTTATTTAATTGGACCTGGTTCATTGTAAATATATAAATAGAGAGTTTTAGATTATTTTGTACAGATTATTACATATTAATAAAAGATCTCTCTTCAGCTCAAGTTCTTTTCTCTTCATACGGACATTTCATCTTAGGGTTTCTCGTGTGAATCTTGCTCGAGTTCATGAAGAATTCGGCTGTTTTCATGGTATCATAGCTCGGGAGCTCGTAGATCTTGTGTTTCTGCATCGATCGATGGTACCCTCGCTCAGTTTGGTTAGAGTTTGATTCCGTCAATTTTCTGGGATTTCGTCAGATTTGTTCCGTTTTTTTTATGAGATTTTCTTTCGATCTCGACAAAGGTTCGAAGCTAAGTGTTTTTCCTTCAGCTTGGGTTTTCAATTGGTAGTTGTTTTGCTGTTTCAAGCTATAGCTCTCATCAGTGCTGTGAAAATTGACTGAATTTGTGAAAGCCCTAATTTAAAGTTCATTGGCGTATTCCCCTTCCCCTTCTATTCCCAAAAGTTGATTCAATAGGCTTCCTTTATGGATTTTTTTTGTCCAAACCTAAATTTTCAATTGCATAATTTTCTATCAATGGCTCCTATTGATGATTCGTCTACTACTACTGCCACTACTTCTTCAACCTCAACTATCTCTTTTTCTGTTGAACCGTTACACCCTTTGTACCTGTACCCGTCTGATTCGTCGGGCACAATTTTAGTCACAAAGACCTTTAATGGCACGGGTTATGGGTGTTGGAGACGAAGCATGTTGACTGGCTTATCATGTAAAAATAAATTGGGGATAATCAATGGGACAATCCCCAAACCTAGTGAAAACTCTGTGTTGTTTGAACCCTGGGTCCGTTGTAATGACATGGTGACTGCATGGATACTAAATAGTCTAGACACTGAGATTAGGGAGAGTGTGATGTATACAAAATATGCTCAAAAACTTTGGAAAGAAATCGAACAACGATATGAGAAAGCGAATGGGACTAAAGTGTTTCAAATCAGGAAGGACCTTGCTTCCATTTCCCAGGGATCCTCTAACATTGCTTCCTATTTCAGTCGCATTAAAAAGCTTTGGGATGAGTTGTCTTATTCAATCACTTATCCAGACTGTACATGTGGTTGTAAAGAGGCCTTTCAGAAGATCGAAGAAGAGCAGAAGGTTCATCAATTTCTGATGGGGTTAAATGAAACCTACAATGGGGTTAGGAGAAATATTCTTCTAATGAAACCTTTGCCTGATATTGACAGTGTGTATGCTATGCTGATTGAGGATGAAAGCCAAGCTGAAGTCCAAATTTCAAATTCAGTTTTTAGTCCAGAATCTGCCACCTTTAGCACAAATGTTCAGAAACCTATGAATTCAAGGATGCAATTTGACACTACTAGGGAGAGTACCAGAGTTCAAAGGCCTTTCACTCAAAGGATAAATTTTGATCCTACTAAGAAGGGGAATTCTAGTTTGATGTGTTGATACTGTAAGAAGCCTGGGCATCTAATTAAAAACTGCTACAAGCTGCATGGGTACCCTCTAGGTTTAGGTTCCAAGTTCAAAAGATCCGTTGCATTTGCTCAAGTTTCTGATCCACCTGACATGGGAGCTACTGATAACTCTACTTCTGAGAGCTCCAAGGTGATTCCACTTGACATTGGGGGCAACATTCGACAAAAGAACAATATGATCAACTGCTCAATTTGCTCCAACAGTCCAAGATGTCCTCTGCCTCTCAAGACATTCCATCTGGTTCAGCAAACTTTGCAGGTCTGATAGGTACTTCTGTTTTCAGTAATTTTGCTTCTTATGTTTGCAATTTTACTAAAGTAGAGGATGACTTTTGGATCATATACTCTGGTGCTACTAATCATATGATCCCTCACCAATCTTTACTAACTGATATTAAGCCCCTACCTTTGCCTTACCTTGTGACTCTTCCTAGTGGGTACAAAGTTAAGGTCCATTGTACCGGTTCTCTTTGCCTCTCTCCAACCATTTCTCTTCCTAATGTGTTACTTGTTCCTTCGCTTCATTATAAACTCATCTCTTTAAATCAACTACTTGTTCATCTTAAATGTAATGCCTTCTTTACTGCCTATGCATGTGCTTTGTTACAGGGTCCTTTTCTAAAGAAGCCAGTGGTGCTTGGTAGACTTTAGAAGGGTCTCTACATTCTTCAGCCCAATGATCTTTGTGACTGTGATACTTCTTCTTCCAATTCCTTTGTAAATACCATAACTGCCAATGTTGATATAAAGAATAAGAGCAGTTCTCTTTTATATCCTTCTGTGTGTGCTAATATTTCTACTTCTGCCTTGTCTATTGATCATACATGGCATTTGAGGTTAGGACATGCTCCTTTTGCAAAAATGAAGCATATTTCTTTTCTTTCTGATAAATTGCCTCCCAAACAATCTTTCATTTGTTCCATTTGTCCCATGGCTAGGCAACAAAGAGTACCCTTTTCTGAAAGTACCATTCACTCTACTACTCCTTTCCAATTGATTCATGTAGACCTGTGGGGACCCTATCACACCCAAACTTATAATGGTTTTAAGTATTTTCTGACCATTGTAGATGATTTTACTAGAGCCACTTGGACCCACTTGCTTTCCTTTAAATCTAATGCCTTCTCTGTTTTGAAATCCTTCATTGCTATGGCCAGCACTCGGTTTTCCCTTCCTGTTAAAACTGTGAGATCAGACAATACTTTTGAGTTGGGAGGAAGTAATGAGGCTAAAACTTTTTTCTCTGCTCAAGGTATCCTTCACCAGACTTCCTGTTCACATATACCATGACAAAATGTGTAGTGGAGAGGAAACACAAACACCTGCTTGAAACTGCCCGGCCACTCCTCTTTCAATCAAATTTGCCTCTCAAGTATTAGGGTGAGTGTGTTTTGACTGCCACCTACCTCATCAATAGGTTTCCTTCACCTCTACTTCAACATAAGTCTCCTTTTGAATTGTTGCATGGTTACTCTCCTTCATTTGCACATTTGAAAGCTTTTGGGTGCTTATGTTTTGCTGGTGTCCCTAAGCCTTACATATTAATAGAGAATTTCAACTCGGTTCGTTGTAAATATATAAATAGAGAGTTTCACATTATTTTGTACAAATTATTACATATTAATAAAAGATCTCGCTTCAGCTCAAGTTCTTTTCTCTTCATACGGACATTTGATCTTAGGGTTTCTCGTGTGAATCTTGTTCGAGTTCATGAAGAATTCGACTGTTTTCATATTGCTTTTTGTAACAATAAGTCTTGAACTTAGTATAAACAATTAAGTCGAAAATAGTGATCCCGATTGCATCTTCTAGTCAAATACAACATCTTTCCATTGTATTATTAGCCATGTAAAACTTTCGCACAGGAATTTCCAGTATACTGTTATTCTATTATGTCGAGAAAAAGGTAAATCCCAAAACTAGAGAAGATAAAAAATACCAAACTTTTACGTAAAAACATTTTAATTTGAAGGTAAAAACCACAGGATCACAAATAGAAATATTCCTCTACACACAAATAAGATACTCCCTCCGTCTCATATTATTTGTCATGATTCTCTTGTACACTCCCCTTAAGAAAAATTAATTAGGATGAGATTTTGACTACTTTACCTTTATTCATGTCTTAATATTAATCTTTCTTCATTGGTATTTGAACAAAGTTATCCACTGTTAAGATGTTTGTAGTCTTCAAGGATGATTAATACTAAGGGTAAAAAAGAAAAAAATTATCAATTTTGTCTTGAACTTCTAAAGTAACAAATAGTTTAAAATAACTATTTTTAGTAACCAGGACTGATAATACGACAAAGAGGGAGTAGATTTTTACCAAATTCCGAAGGTCAAACTAGCTCACATGATGTTGGAGAGTGAGTGTGTTAACATATTAGTATAATTTGCATAAAACAAATCCGTGCTTCACAGATTACCTCAACTTCATTACACTTTCACTCTGTTAATTGTAATGTCTACAATTATCCAGTTCCAAAGAATCAAATTTAATTCACTAAACGGCCTTTCTAACCATAGTAAGACTCTACAACTTTAACTATCATTTTAGATTTTTTTTTTGAGCCCAACATATATAATTGTTCTGATTCCTTGAAAATGGAGAGAAGACATGTATCTTTTAAATAAATAAATTCGTTCACAGCTATTCTAAAGATATTCTTGTGTAATTTCAATGACTTTGAGATTAACCAAATGTATGAGTCAATCTTTGTACACAGGGGAAGTATTTACAGCTTTTTAATGTATGCTTTATCTTATAGTAATACAATAACGTAGTGTAATTATATACCAAATCAAAATGCAAATCATAAAGTGCCGTACAATTATATACATAATAATAACACGTGTTTTAGACAAGAGAGGTTAAAGTTTCGTCCTTTAAAAGTTCGTTTTTTCCCCTTACTTTGTCGACAGAAAAAAGAAAAGAATAGATTCTGTTGGGCTGGAAACTGATGTAAACTATTACTGTAATACGGGGTATCTTAACGATATCTTGATTTTTAAGTCAACGTATAGATATCAGTGATTAATCATAACGATAAGATTCGATTTCTTGTATGGGATTCCATTTATTAGACTAAAAATTAAATTTATGTTCTAAAATAATTATTCCCATTAAATGTTCAAAAGGACAGTACCATGTGTATATGGATTCTAGGTGTAATAGAAGTCTACCTTGTTGTTATTACCATCGATCATTTTCATGTTGTCTTTAGCCGAGTGTTTAATGTATTCTATCCTCCCAAATCTACTTGCGAGAACTATAGAAGTCCACCCCGTTGAGACACACTATATTTATTTGGACAAGTTTACACAAATAAGGCAACATGATCGATACTAGTATATTTATATGAAATCATATTAATTTATTTTAATTCAATAATAAGTTACAATAAAATATATATTAATTAATTACTCTTATAATATTGCATATATATATATATTCATTGAATTGGTGTGTCAGATAATATATTTCCAAAAAGAAAAAGCGAACAGACTGTAGACCTTTCCCTTGTTACCCTCACATCCAAAGCCAAAATTTCCACTACAGTTTACTCCTAAAACTTTATACACACACACACACAGTACTTTTCTCTGCAATTCTTTTATACCCAACTTTTCATCTGCTTCATTTTTCTGCTCAGTTTTAGTGATATTACTTCATTCTAATCAATCAAAATCTTATCTTTTTTTGTAACCAGTGAAAAAGGTTTTCCTTCAAATTTCAAAGGTTAAAACGATGAAGGTTCATCCAACACCAATAAGAAAACGAAACATCACGTTACGCAACGACATCGTATTATCAGCTTTCTCTCAAAAGAAGCTCCGGCGACTCCCCCATATCTTCGCGAAAGTTCTAGAACTTCCGTTCCATTCCGATGCCGACGTGTCAATCCAAGAAACCTCCGATTCGTTCCGCTTCGTTATCCCAACTGATGCTGATGATGGGGGCTTGGGCCATAATATTAGGGCCCACATAGTCGAGATCTATCCGGGTGTTACTAAGATTGTTATCCGAGGTGATAATGTTTTTGATACTTCGTCGTCTTTGTCTGGATTGGAGCTAGACTTATGGCGGTTTCGGCTTCCGGCAGAAACTTTGCCGGAGCTGGCTACCGCCGCTTTTAGTGATGGCGAGCTTGTGGTGACGGTGCCCAAAGGGGCTGATGACGACGGTGACGGTGGCGATGGTGATATTGATGGAGCTGGTCGTCTTGTTCTTGTACAATAATCCTCTTAATTCCTCCTTTTTTGTCTCTCAATTTTCAGCTATGTTGTTTTCACATTTTAATTTTTAATTTGAACTGTCTGGTGTTTAAATGAAAAATCGTTCAGGTCCTTTAAAAATTAATTATGGCTAATCCTATTTAATATCATTGCCTATAATAAATGGTAACGAACTTGTTATTAAATTATATTGATACTGTCAATGTATATACTTAAATCCGTTTCACTGTTTTACGGATGTTTAGTTAAACTTTGCTTTTTCAGTAGTTACTAGTACTGAGCTAAAGAGTAAAGTGTGTAATTAATTCTCTAATAGGTCACCCCAGAAAGGAAAAGGACTTTTCGTTAAATTGCAGTGGCAAAAAACGGTCAAAGTTGGCTTATAGGTTTGTTTCTCGTGTTTTTGGAATTTTTCATAATCACAACATGGCATACCTTGAGTTTCTTATTTGGTCGTTCTATATATATTAGACAAGGTTTATGATATTGCCAAAGACTGGACTTTTTCTTTTATATAGGAGTATTATTTTTTGGGTGATTGTTCATTGCCATGGTCTAAGCTCTCAAGGAAATCAAGATTTCTTCTTATCTGTGTATGTGGATGTCCTCTTTGCTCTCTACTTATTTTTTCCTTTTCTCATAATTTAAATCTCAGTTTAGTAGTCCACAGTAAGAGTGCCTTGTTGCTTATAGAAAGTTAAGTTCATCTGATATATTTGGTTGTGATTACAGCATTGTGGCTCCATCTGTAAGTTGATTTTTCCAATTCGTTTGCCACACTCATCATGTGGCTAGTGCCATAATTCATACAAGTTTATGCATGTCTAACTCTGTTTTAGACAGCTCTAATTTTATAATCAAGAATTGATTCCGCATCCTCTGATTTTCTCAAGTATCTTGCAGAGCTAAAATGTTGGTTATTGTAGTATCTTGATTATTATTGATCTCTGAGAATTAGACACGCTTTGGCTATTGTAAATTGGAGTGTTTAAGAAATTAAGAATGAACTTCAGGGAGCATAATTGCATAAAGTATGATAGTGATTATAGTTCAGCTGTGTTTGGAACAAAATCATCACTTACTTATATGCCGTCCTTGTGCTATATGTATGGTCCTTCTGGTTTAGATCATGTTTCTTGACATTTCACTCAGTTATTATACACATTTCTCATACTTGTATTGTCAATGGGTTGATCCTTGCTGAATTTGTAGGTTTGTTTTGATTTAGCAGCTTCTCACGCTAGCTATGCTTCTTGTGGTGCTTTTCTGCAATAATATTCTGTCCAGTGGCTCTTGGTTCCATTTTCTTTCGAGATTTTGTTGTCTTCTCCTTCATTGTGTTACGGTTTCTCATTCTTACTATATATAGCCTGTACTACCTGGTCAGTTTTACGTTGATAAAGCATTGAAATAACACAGACCATTGAATGGCTTAAAGTGCTGAGCCAAGCTGCATTTCAAGGGTCTGAAGTAACGAGAATGAAATTGAAAAAGAAAAGGAAAAACCTTTGGAGAAATTTCTAGTATTATAATAAGATTGAATTATTTATTATCCCTTTATTAGGTAGGAATTGGTAAGCATGGCTCTCTGAAGTTGGGAAAGTTGGATTTGATATCATGACCTTTGAGGATATAGCTGGACTCGTGTTTAATCATCCTTTTGGAAAGTAGAACTAACTTTTACGTGATCATGATACCATTTTTTGCATGATCATGATCCTTTAAGGATGGGGCGCCAGCAGCAAATTTTACCAATTCACTTTCTTGCTTGCTGCCTTAAAAAGTCTGTTAGCCTACAGGCTGCAGATATCAAATGCGTTATTTCAAAATCCCTGGTTAATTGGCCATAAGCTGATGCCAAGTAGCCTTCTATCCGTTGTAGACGTGAATCCTAATGTTTATTTATACCAGAGCAAGCACAGGATTCGTATGTTTATAGATGCTCAACATGTGAGCAATTCTTGATGCATGTCTATTGACTAGGATTTCATATGGATTCTTGTCTTTAGAATTTTGTTCAGCAGTTGCCTAGTATAGGTCTATCTGCATTCTCATAAAAATGTCTATTTGCATTATCGTCGAAGGAAATCCTGGCTGAATGTGCAATGTGTTTATTTCTGTCACATTGTTCTCACAAAGGCCAATGCGTCTTTTCATCTACTCTCTAGCCGAGGGTCTATCGGAAACAACCTCTCTGCTCTCCCAGGGTAGGGGTAATGTTTGCGTACACATTACCCTTCCCAGACCCTACTTATGAGAACTTTCTGGGGCTTTTTGTTGTTGTTGTTGTTGTTGTTGTATTCTTCCCGCAAAGAACGATGGGGTAACCTTGAAGACACCAAGTTCTTTGGCAATTTAATATCAGTTACTGACATCAGATATATATACCTGTGTTTTGTTTCCAACTGTTGTTACAATCTTGATTATTTTCTTCTCTAAGGATTTTGTTTAACCAGAAGATGGTCAAGTAACTTTATGATGAGATAAGTAAAGACTTGTTTGGTGTGTTCTCTCACTTGCCATCCCATTCACTGGTAATGCTGCCTCCTGGTTGTTTAGTGTGGAAATCCACACAAACACACTATTGAATAATGTCGTTACCTCATCTAAAAGCTTAAACTATTAGTGTCGGTGCACAGAAAGCCCTTTCTTTTGAGTATCTTTAGTGAGCCTAGAGATGGAGACCCTACAGAGCCCGTAAACTCCCGATTTAGACATGAAAATAGGCCATTCCTTTTTTTTACTAGTGTCTGCTTTAATACCATGTTAAATCGTATGATCACCTCAACTAAAAGCTTAAGCGCTTGTGAGAAAGTATATGCTTTTATTTCCTTAATATCTTCAACCCACTCTGAATCCCAATATATAGCAGTTGCTATTGCTTTTTTTCTTTTTTTCCATGGCTTTTCAACTATCGTATTTTTGCTTTCTTTGAGTCGAGGGTCCATCGGAAACAGCTTCTCTATCTTCATAAGGTAGGGATAAGGTTTGAGTACACACTACCTTGCTTAGACCTAACTTGTGGGATTACACACTCAGAGGCGGAGCCAGAATATAAAGTTACTCGGTTATGTTTTTGGATTCTAAAATAAGAATATGTACCTATTCAATGGATTTCTTAAGACAAAAAAATATACGATTTGCACTAAAATTACTAGGTTCGACCGAACCCATTACCGAAGCTTTAGCTTCGCCCTTACACTGGGTGTATTGTTCTTCTACATCCCAATATAAAGTCAATATAAAGAGGAAAGAAAAGGGTTCAAATAATTTTCTGATATTAAAGTAGAGGTGAACCATTTTCTCATCCTTTGCAATTGGGACACGAATGAAAATTTTTATTCAGTGACACACATAACATAACTGACACTAATTGTGCGAGGTTTTTTTGTTGTTTCAGAATTTTGTGGACCCAAAAAATATAAGATTGGATCCACAAATTTATGAGATAGAGACCTCACACCACTAATGTTAGTTGAGTGATGTTGGGCTAAACTAGTCCAAGTACACTCTTAATATGATGTGATATTGTCCGCTTTGGGCCAAGCCCGCACGGTTTTTCCCAAAAGGCCCCACACCATTAAGAGATCTCTACACCTTATATGTAGACTCCCAATCTTTTCAGCTACCAATGTGGGACTTTGTTCGCACACCCAACAATCTCCCCCTCGAACTAAGTTCCACGTGGTCCACTACCACGATCCACGGGTCAATTTTCGAGATTCACTGTGTGCCACCCATATTGTTAGAGTATTATGGCAACCGAAGCCCGCAACTAGCTTCTTCTTGTGTGTGCACCGCCCTGCACCATCACTCCGCCATCTCCATACTCGTTCCGCTGAACCTGGGCTCTGATACCACTTGTTAGGATCGAAAAAAAGTCAGGTATCATGCGGAAGCTAGCAAAGCAAACCTTCAACGACGATAAAGCAGACAACAAAGGAGAAATCTACCAAAAGAGACACAAACATTTAACGTGGTTCGGTCAACTGACCTGCGTCCATATGGAGATGAGCAATCCACTATATAAAAAAGAGAGTACAAAATATCGAGAGAACAACCTCACGAAGAGGCAAACACAAGTGGCACACTAACACTTGTCCCGTAAAGTTCTCCCCTAGACACGACACTCAAGCCCCCTATGGCTACATTGTGGATGCTACTGAATGAGAAGGAAGGATCTTCAATTTATTGAAGTCCAAACCTTTTCCTACAATAAAAAGGACTAGCCAAATATTTGGACTATCTACTGAATCCGAATCTCTCAAGTTAGCTAGCTTCTTTACCCCTTGTTCGCTAAGATGCAGAAATCATTTTCTGTTAACTGCACCATATAAGTATCGATAAGGTAAGATTAACTTCTTAATCCAACACATCGAAGCTAATTTATTTATACTCACTGATGTTTTGCTTAAAGTATATATATTTATATGTATATCGCCTCATATTTTACTTTTGTTTCGTGGATTTAGGATGTGAAATGTATGGATTTATATTAATTTGAGGTATTTTTATGTGTAGGAATGATCCGGGAGCAATTGGGGGTGAAATGTGCGAAATTAGAGCCAAAACGGACGAAAACAGGAAATTGGGACATTGCAGCGCCACAGGCAGCGCCCTGAGCTACCTGTGGGGCCAAAACCAGTAGCTAAAAATTGGCAGTGCCATTGAGGGCGCCTAGCGCTGGGCAGGGCGCCGTTGGCGTGAACCTTCTCCAATTCGGTCGGGACACGGTTATTTCGGCCCTAGACCTACCCAACACGTATAAAAGAAAGACTAAACTTATTGGTGAGGGGGTGACGCCACTTTGGAACGAAAATACACACGACAAACATTCGGAAGCGGAGAGATCTCAGTTTTCTTCATCTTTTTCCAGTATTTTCAATTATTCAACACTGATGAAATTGTTTGCTATTATCATGAGTGGCTAAAAATCCATTGTTCGGGGATTGTGATTTAGCCATGAATATTGTTGTTTAACATTGACTTAACCTTGATTATAATTCACTACTATATGGTTGTTTCTTCAATTCTGTGATTAATTGCTTAATTATCTGGCCAGCAGTTAGGTTCTATTTACTATCTATGCTATGCTTGGGAAATCCGTGTTTAGATTAGAGAAGAATTGAAGAGAGCACGATCTT